GCATACTGTTGTGGGTTGGGATGGCAAGAGCTTTGTAGAGCTGTAAGTTGTCTCTTTACGTAGATAGAAAGTAAAAAAAAATACTCCCTCTGGTTTACTTTATTAATCACTTTTTAGAAGGATGAAGTGGTTCACTATATAAGTTTTTAAATTGACAGTGATGTTTTGTTTTAAATGAAATGTCTAAACTATCCTTAAAAAGTAAGAGAAAAAAATGAAATAATAATATTATATAGTTTATTTACTTTTTGAAGGTTATGCTTATAATGTTATTAAATTTTATTCTTTGTACTTTTATTGTATTGATATTGATAAAGATTGAAATGACTTATAAATAAAATTGGAGAGAGTATTGAGTTTGAGGTGGCAAGAACTTTGTGGAGCTGTAAGTTGGTTGTCTCTTTACGTAGATAGATAGTAAAAAAGAATAGTATCTGTTAGCATGCCTGCATTTTTAGCAAAGAAAATTATAAATAACGACATGCTTCAGCAAATAATTAATTAGGACTACAAAGTTATGAAATTACATTTTAAGACCGTAGTTTTTTTTTTTTAGTTTTAAAAATTATACTTGACTAAACTTGTAATTGACTAACTTCAAATCACTTTATTTGAACTGAAAACATTTTTATTTCTTAACTTATAATTTATAAGGCACAGATATTTCAAGTCATCTCATGTATTTGTATCATCGATATTTCTTCAATACATATTTAGAGTATTGCAATATTTTTTAATTTTTAAAAAAATTTTATTTTTTGATATATGTATGATATTTTTAAATTGTAAGTTGATATTTTAAAGCTATTTTTAAGGAATTAAATTTTGTTAATTATTGTGGTATTAATTTTTTCTTCATAATATATTTTTGTAATTTGCTTTTAGAGTCAAATATTAGATTTTCCTTAAAAAGTAAGTTTTAGATATAATAAAAAAATAACAAATATATTGTCTTAATTATAAAAAATGTATGAATATATTTTTTGGCTCATAAACTCTAAGTAGGAAATTATTAGCAGATACTAAGTGATGGGCAATTAGGTGGAGGCAAAATAAAAGTGCAATTAATGATTATGTTTCATTTAGTATTACTATAAAGGATTACATATATATATATGCTAGTTTGGATATTTTTTAAAACTGTAATTTCCAACTTGAAATTTAGTAGTACTAAAATCACTTTAATCGAGTTGGAAATTTAATTGAAGTGGGTTATGTGAGTTGGAAAAGAAATTATTTCTAGACTTGCAAATAGTTAACTTAAAATTTGTTCGTATTGAAATTATTTTAATTGAGTTGAAAATTTAATTTAAAGGGCTTATGAAATCACTTGTTGAGTTGGAAAATTTTTTACTCCGTACTTGCCAACTTGATCAATAAGGACATTTTAGTTAAATTATTATTTTTTAAAATGACAAAAAAGGACCATGGTCCTAAAACTTAGTTTCATAATTTCGTGCTCTTATGTTTTTCGTTATAATTTCTCTTTTTAAAATTATGAATTTAGTTTCATGTAATTTTTAATGTTGTTTGTTCACCTTATCAATCCATATAGAACGTAGAAATATTTTTTTAAATTAATGAGCATTCTAGACTTTAAAATATCATATGAAAAATACCTTGAACCCTAAACTTTTAAAATATAAAAAATGAATCTTAAACTTCCAGAGCTAGAGCAAATCACCCCTACCATTAACTTATACATAACTGCCATTAACTATTGACTTTGTGGGGTTTAATTAAATGTTGATATGATAGTCTCTTGATGTGCCATCGGTTAATGAGCACCATAGATCTTAAACTATTGTGCGAGTAACATCTTGAATCCTAAACTCTTAAAATATGTAAAAATTTTCTTGAACTTTAAAATTCAGAGCAAATTATTCCCATCATTTTAATGATGTTTCATCCCTCCTCACATATTAATGGTGCCCTCATCTCTCTGTCTTTTCTCAGTATGTTAGTCGGGGGATTCGAGGTAACACTGGCCGCATCTCTCTCAATTAGCTTTGAGCATCTTTATAATGCAAGAAAGAATTCAGTCTTTACAACCTCAGTTGTTGCTTAAATCTATTGATCCATTGTCTATAAAATCTTTAATTTCAAACCCAAATTAACTACTTAATTAAAATTCTTTGATACTTAAACTTCATTTCAAATGAGATCCTAAATTTTTATCATTAAATAAATAAATATTATTCAAAATAAGACTAAATTAGAGTTATAAAATATGTGAAAGTATGAGATACCAATCATTTGGAACATTGCAAAAAAAAAAGGGCAAAAAATGTTATTTAATAAAATTCTGGGTCATTTGCTGCGACCAATGATGTGTTTGCCACAGCAGACTACACTGAGACTAATTTAATTAACATAATAGTTAACGTTTTACGCATAAACAATTAGGGCAATTTGCTTTAAATTTTTAAGTTCGAGGGAGTTTTTGCGCATTTTAAAAGTTTAGGGTCCAAGATGTTATTCGAGCAATAGGGTTTGTGGTGCTTAATAACTAATGAAATATCAACAAGGGAATGTCACATTAGCATTTGATTGGACCCCATAAGGTCAACAGTTAACAGTACTTATATATAAGTTAATGGTGGGAGTAATTTGCTTTGCATTTAAAATTTTAAGGTTTATTTTACATATTTTAAAAGTTTAGGATTAAGGGTGTTTTTTACATAATACTTTAGGATCTAAAATGCTTATTAACCTTATTTTTTTCCCCAAAAAAAAAAAAAAACCATTGATGGATTATGCAAATTTTCTTGGGTTGTGTGTATATATATATATTGTCATGGATTATTTGTATTCCTTCAACATATTTTTATATATATTTAAATAGGTTTAAAATTTAGATACTAAAAATATGGTTACTATTTTTATTAAAGTTTTAGGCTATTTTCTTGCACTTACTCCAGTGTCCAGTCCTTTACATAAATACTGATTAAGAAAGGATATTTATATTGTTAAAATTGTTAAAAATATATAAATTTTCAATTTTTCCTTTTTTTAATTAATAATCATATTATATATTTGTCTAAAAGTTCAAACCATAATAAATTTATGAGGGATAAAATTAAAAAAATTAACTATTCTAACTTTACCTTATATTAAAAATATTTTTTTAAAAAAATTGCCTTGAAAGACCAAAGGAAGTATTTGATAGAAAAATATTTCCTCCAATATCACATTAATTAATTTAATTTGAACTTTGACATCAATGGATAGTAAATGAACGACAGGGTAATAACAGTCATTTTACTATATAATTTTAAATATCTTTATTTTAACTGCTTGTCACTATCTAGCATCTACTGTAGCGATGAGTAAGATGTTTACAAGCAAGGTTGTTAAATTCATGAGTTTAAATAAACTCATGATAGAAATATAAACTCATATCGTAAACTTAGATCGTAAATTCGTAAAAGTTTATCTTTATTAACAAATAACCATTAAAATATAACTGTAATTTAATTTAAATATATTAAAATATAAATTATTAAAATTAAACCCATCTATATAGATAAATTATTATATACAAGACATAAAAATTTTAAAATAGGAGAACTTATTTTTTTATATTTTTGTTTTCTTTTTTATTACCATTAGTTTTTGCATTTCAAGTTTTTTTTTTTGAATCAGGTCCTATAACTTTTGTGAATTAAATTTTTTATAGTATATACTTAATTCACTTAACTTAAAAAAATTAAAAGTTTAACAAGTTTAATCAAGTCTGAGTTTATAAATTAGTTGACACGATTTTGTAAGTTAAAAATGTAAAAATAATAAACTCGCGAGTTTAATCGAGTTTATATTTAATCCAAATTTATGAGTGTTAACAGGATTTTGCAAGCTGAAAACATAAAAGTATTAACCTTGTAGAGTCAACTTGAGAGCTTAACAACTATGCCTACAAAGGCTAATAAAATGATTTTCAGGGCTATTTAACCTAAATTTCTTTTGGAAAAATTAATTTAGGTCAATGGACCTTGTGATATTTATATTGTAAAAGACTTTGGATATAAATCTCCCATTTTTTTTCAATTGTTACATTCTCTGGTGAGATTTACTGTTTGAAGTTGTCACTCGCAGAAATATTGACCCCACTTTTTCATTGATATCAAGTAACTAACAGGAAGTGATTCATTGAGCATTATTCTTAATTCTTTGGTCACAGAATATTTAAGTATGTTCATATCCATTTGTTTGGTAAGAAATATTCATTCCATTGTTCTGTGATAATGTAAAATCTCATGTATCTAATGAGATAACTATTTTGATTAAGAAAATTATTTGAAAAGACTAAAGTAAAAGTCTTCCACGTTTGAATAACTAAATTGGGAAAAAATAATTTTAATAATTAAGTTAAAAAGATGTATTTTCACATGATTATATAAATATAAATAAATTTCAAAGCACAAAATTACTACTTCTACCAATAACATCATCATCATCATCATCATCATCATCATTATCATTATTATTATTTTTTTTTTCCCTCTTGGAGAAGGGGAGTGATCCTCAGTATCTTACCTGTTTCTCATGTCAAGCATCGCTAAAAATTCAGTTTTATCGCCTGATATAATGGCGATATCACTTGTGATCAAGAATAATTAAACATTCCGAACGTTTTTTTTTTTTTTTTTTGAGGGGGCGACATCCTGGCAATTGCCATTTGTGGCGCACTTACAATTTCAATAATTAAAACCAACAATATCAAATCTCCAAAGGATATAATTGAAAACCGGGATCATCCCAACTGGTTGAACTATTAAACCATTGAACCAGTATCTCAATTAGTTTCATAAAATGTTTTAATCATGATTGGTTTGATTACAGTTCGATTACAATTTTGGCTATTAACCATAAACCTGTGTCTCGACCAGTTTAATAATTAATTTAGTTTTCAATACCTTGCTTCAAAGTGAATTCATAATTTATCAACGCTCTTGGGGTATATGAACAATTAAATAAGTCAGAAAGGAAACATGCATCCATTTAAAAAAAAAAAAATATTCAGGGGGGAGAGCTGGAAAATGTCATTAATGAAACATATATGCAGCTTTCTGTACGTTAAAATGCTAATGAGGTTACGCAGCTTTGTTCATCATATATCCTGTCCTGCTGCTCAGCCTGATAGACCTCTTTCTAAATTCTATATGCATTTCCCCACAGAATTTTTTAAGGCGGGCAAAAAAACGCAAACATGCCAGTTTAGTACCGACACGTGATAGTGTCAACGTCTCCAAAAAATAAACGCAAACAAGAAAATGATAGTAAAAAGCATGCCTGCATATTTGATCCATTGGTCAACACGATGCCGTCTCTCAATAAGCCTCAAAACGGTAGTTGATATCCCAACTGTATTGATGATATCTAACGCTTTCCGTTGTGCACCCTGCACCAACATAGAATTCAAATAAATACATCACCAATAATCACGTGTGAAGAACCTCTCAAATGAACTCCAATGGAGAAGCAAGCACCTAACTGAAAACATCAGATCCACAACACACAGGAGCATAGCAACTTTTTTTTTTTTTTGAAAAAAAAAGGAGCATGAAATTCCTGGCGATGCTATCCTATTATTTCATAAAATGCATTGCACTTGAGAAATATACTAAACTCCAGTTTCATAATTTCCCCCAACTTAAAAGGCAAGGTTCAATATACAACAGAAAGCTGGCGACAAATTCTTTTCATATCATTATACATTAGAGTACATAAAGATAATGTAAAATGAGGAATTAAAACTTTCTGCTGCTCAAATATTTTGGAACCAAAAAAGAGAGAAGAGAAGAGCGACCAGAAACTTCCCCTGCCAATGCATCTTATAACTGTTGGACAGTAGCTTTTCAAACAATTACCATATACAATGGTAATGCTGCTCCTAACAGAAACCACTTGGTACAAGTCTCAACCATAAAATATAACATAAAAAGAATCTGCCATTAGCCATGTAATGGCAATATATCTACAATTCATACCATCAATTAGTTATGCAATCTTATGTCCCAGCAGACATTGATCTTTCTGCGAATGACATGTTTCTACAGCAGCATGTCATATGCGAAAAGGAGCAGGGAAGATACCTTTAAGCGTTCCCTTTGCCCATGTATTGAGGACAGGATGGACTCCCCAAGTGCATTAGCATTTTCCAGCTCCCTTGAGGAATTACGAACTGACTGCATTGCTTGTGCCTCCTCGTCAAAAATTCTCAAAATGTGAGCAGAATCCCCATTCTAGCAAAATAAATGAAGTTGTTATGTCGCAGAGGAAAATCAGCAAGCCACTAAACCAGAGCATGACAGCAAGTACATACAGCTCGTCCCAGCAGTTCTGCCCTCTCCCTAGCTTCTGTCATTCGTTTTTGATTTCTGAAGTTATATTTATCCAAACTTTCTCTCAATGATTCAGCCTCCTCAGCTATTTGTTCTACTTTCTGCATGCAGAAAGCACAAATACCCCGCATCAAGATCCTCTATAACAAGGATACAGCAGTAAACCAAACAACAAAAACTGGGGACCCATAATAACACGATATAAAATTTAAGTATGAAGAAGAAACAAATAACAAATATTTTATGGTTTGGTATGAACAAATATATAAGTCAAAACTAGTTCCTTCAAAGAGAAACCAACTAAACTTGCCAATGTTCATTAGTACGGAGGAATAATGAACTGGCCTCCATGCAAATGATAAACTATATCATAAATAAAGTGTATAATAAATCATTTGGAAGAAATCTTAAGTATCTGCCATTGAGCTAATAGTTCACATGGCAACGACCTTCTTGTTTAAGATTGAGATGAGATTGACATTTTGGATTTAATCCCTAAACTTCCCTTCGTCACTACACCCCCAGGTCATGGGCTAAGAGAACGACAAAAAATTACAAGTATCTTCCATAAATCTGGATTAGCAAGACTCAATTAACAATATCTTTGGAAGTTCGTTGAAAATGCCAAGTTGTCAACATCATAATAAAGGCATTGGAGGATGAGATCATTTAATTTTAAGTCTATCAAGTGCATTGCTAATAATGGAGGGGGAGCAGGGAAGCTTTTACAGACATCATTTGTAATTTTGCATCAATACTGCAAGTTGTGCCATCCAATGAGTATCAATTTGATGTTTCATCATTTGTATAAGCTATCGTCCAAGTAAAGTATTTAAGGGTCCTAATATAGATCCAAAATATGCATTTCCTTGCCATACCTTGGTTTGTGAAGAGTGGACATTAAGCAGGAAACTATTCAAAGTGAACCCATACACTATCGATATCCCTAAGCTAACTTTCGCATTAGTTCACAGAGTCTAAGATATTTGCATCAGATGCATGTTAATATTAAAAAGAAATGTGAAATCACATCAAACATTATCACACAGAATAATTCGAGTTTTCTTTTCCCTTCAGAATTAGGGGAAAGCTGGGAAGGCCCATCAAGGAGCACAAGAAACGTGATTCCTCTTTGAATTCAGTAAGACGACTAGTGTATCGAATCTGGATCCATTAAAATTGAAGAACACATCATCTATAGAATAAACAAATTGTAATTCAAACATTATTACAAACTTACGCAACAGTAAATTAATTTGTTCATCCTGATTTCATGAATATTACATGATCTTTATAAATCAATCTTTCTCACATGCAAAGTTATCTGATGAATAAACCCTAAAATAATTGAGTCCAAGAAGAAATTTCACCATAAAACAGAAAATGATTAATTCGATGAACGGGAACCGAACCATCGAAATGAAGATAAACAGCAAACATCTGACCTGGACGTTAAACGAGAAATGAAGATTCGTGCTAACCTTTTCCAGAGATCGCGTTGAGGCTTAGCAGCGATGAGGCGGTCCATCTCAGCACATAGGGATTGGATCTGAGTAATATCCTTCTTGACGGCGAAGGCGAGCTCAGTATCCATGCCCGCTGTAGAAGTGGAGTACTCGAGCCGCTCGAGGCGTTCGAGGCCATCGCGGGTCCTCAGCAAGATCTTCTTCGCGCTTTGGTAAATCTCCGATAGGGTTCCTCCGCTTCCGTCCATGACCATGGTCCTGAGAGCTCGGATGGGGGGCCGAGAGAGAGGGAGAGAAGTTACAGATATTTCACGTGTCAGAGGAAGAAGGTGCCGAAGAATTCCGGAGCAACGGTTAACACCCGTAACTTCAAAGAAACCCGAAACGAAACGGGTCACTAGTAATCGGATCTTGATAGATGATGCGTGATTGGATCATTTGTTTTTTGGGCCTTGAGTCCAATAATAGAATAATATTGGACTTCTAGTTTAACTTTCTCTTGAGTCCGATGATGAACGTGAAATATGCCTCTTTCTTATTTTGAAATATTTGCAAAAATTTGTTCTATTTAAGTATTTCTTTTGCGTTTTTTTAATTTTATTTAAGTTTAATTCAGTCAATCTTGACACATCTACCTAAATAAGTGGCTTTTGACTAATTTCTCTTCCTAGCCATGTGTCTCTGTCTTTTTTTTTTTTGGTGATAGATGTGTCATGTGTCCTTCCCCCTCTTCTTTTACCTTTTAACAAACTCTCTTTTTTATTTACTTAAAAAAGTATTTGATTTAACTAGTTGAAGAAGGTAAATCAATTTATTTTGAAATCTCAAGATGCAATTACATTAAATAACAATATCAAAGGCATTTTCAAGTTAATTGTGAAACCATCATTGATAATAACGGTCCCTCACAACAAGGGGATCATGTTAATCTAAAAAGATAGTGATAATGTCTTTAGGCTTCCTAAGAAACTAAGCAATGGAATAAAATAAATATCACTTTATTTTCTTTCACAACATGCATTCATTACAATTTTCATTTGTAATCACACCTTTAATTTTTTATCTATTTAGTTTAGTTGATTTCGACATTTTCAAGCACCTGTAGCTAGCAAGAATTAGTTGCTGCTTGTTCAGCTCTTAGCTAGGATCCAATTTATTTACTCAAAATGTCTACAAATTAAAGCTTTCTTTGAAAGCAAATCCGAATCATAATTAACTTTTTTAGACAAAGATATTCTCAACGTGAAAGGGAAATACTAATATTATTCACTCTTAACATCGTTCTTAATTTTTGAAGTATTTCAATATTGAATCACAAAAAAAAAATATTAGGCTTACTTTCAATATTTTAAAATCGTACTTATCACCCTTTTCGTGGTCAAATTTTTCTTCTGAGAGATGACAATTCTGATGAAGTTCTTTTATATATATACATATATATTGTTGACGAGAGAATTGTACCACTATTTTACTGAAAATTATTGAATCGGTAAGTTGAGCGTGCATAATTCAGGTGTTGATGTCAAGAGATTTGGTTAAGTCAACTAACTAGCTACCACATGCTAAGTATAACACGCTTTAACCTAATCTCTTTATTGTGTTTTTATTTCGTCTCTCGTTTGTTAGTGTGTGAGGTTTTTTTTTTTTTTTTTTTTGGGGGGGGGACTTGATAGTACAAGAATTTCGAATCAATTGTTTATAATAAAAGGATATTTATACACAATAAAAAATAATTTTAAATTTTGAATGATGTAAATATGCTATTTTTAAATATTATTCTACCACATCAGATAAATTTATTTATTGCAACATATAATTCCTCATAATTAAGAATTAAGCAGATAAGAACTACAGGATAAATAAAGCATATTGTAACCTAGAGAAGCAGTGAGGGGATAATATATTGGAGGATTAGCTCTTTTTTTTTTTTTGGGTCAAAATATTGGAGGATTAGCTTGATGTTATGTAAAGTAAAGATTGATCAGGCGACGTTTGGTATGGATAAAAAGTTTTTTTTTTTTTAAAAAAGCAATGAGATAATTTATTATATGTTTGATTAATTAAATTACTAAGGAATGGATGCTTCCTCGTGCGAGGAAAGCTAGGAAACTAGGCCTCCTCCACCAAGCGTTGGAGGGAGAGAGATATTTTTTTTTTAAAAAAAAAATCCTTTGTTCCTTTTTTTTTTAAATAATTCTTTATTTAGTTTGAAAGAAGAGAGGGATTTTAGTGATTTTTTGTTTAAAATATACCCCCCCTCCAAGTAAGGTTTTTTAATAAAAAATAAAAAAATGACCATTCCCATTTTCTCCATTCAAAAAGCTTTCAACTATGGATAAAAATAGGCTAAGCCAAGTTAGAGTTTGACTAAATAAGCTTGAGCTTATGTGATAAATTACCTAAAATTTGTATAAGATTTTTTTTCATGGCTCAAACCTAAACTTATCTAAAACCCTACTTAAAAGTAAAATTTTTAAACAAGCTTGTATTTTAATTTTAAACGTCTCAAATATACTTTAAACTATTATAATATATAATATATAACTTAATTTATTAATTACAATATATAATAATTGAAAGGACTTACTAATTATAATATAATATAACAATAAAATAATAATATTAAGATTAATATATAAGTTTAATATGATTAAAGATATAACTAAAAATAAAAAAAGATAGGTTGATTACAAATTAAATTATGATATATATATATATATATATATAGGTCGGCCTGTTGGCTCCTAAGTTAGCCCTTAAAAAAATAGACTTAGCCTATTTACTATATAAATTTAATTAAAAACCTGAATATGATCTGAGCTTATTTAATGAGTAAACTAAACTAAGCTTAAACTAAGTTAGTAAGCTCCTATTAAAGCCTGATCTATAATGGTTTTTTTTTTGGGGGTGGGGGTAGTGTTTCCTACCACATAAACAATGAATTGGTGATTTTGTTTTGAGTTATTAAACGTTTTGACTATTTTATCAATTCTTAATGTAAAGTATTTTAGTTTTAAAAATAAGTATTATTTTGTATAAATATTCAAATGTCATTTAATTTCTAATAAAATATTAATATTTGAAATAATGCCTATAATTTTGAAGACTCAAATTTCTATTTTGAATTTGTTCTCTATAATTTATTTTGTTTTAATCAAATTCTCATTATTTGATCAATTAGATATGTTTAATTCCTAAATGTTGCAATTATTAATTAATAATTAATTTTTTCAAAACAAAAGCACTTTTGAAGCTTATAGAATTTGATGTAATTCTTTTGGCCAAAAAGAAAAAAGTAAAATTGATTTAATATAATTCTTACATTTTTATTAAATTTCTTATGAGAACGCTGTATGTATAGAAATTATTTAAAACAAAAAACCTAATTTTATAAATTTTGGGTCATAAAAATTATGTAAATAATTCTAGAATTATATAATCTTTTAATAAAAAATATAAGTGATTTTGACTTCATTTTTTAAAAATAAAAAAATTCATGGATTATAACCTTCACAAATTAATAAAGTTAATGGATTTAACTATAAAGGCACAATTAAAATAAGTTACAAGGAGTTGCAAAATAATTCTTCCTATTTAATTTATATGATGATCGTAAAGGCGGATATGCACGATTATTTTGTAGCCTTATATTTTGGTGGGCAAATTGGTATATATGTTAATTAAATGAGGCTAAATTATATTTTTATTTTTTTAACTTTACACTCCTTCCATTCAAAAATATAAGACATTTTTTGAGGAGTTGGATGTTTAAAAATATAAGATATTTTTAGTCTTTCGAGCTGTAATCATTTTCTTTTTTCAAAAATGCCCCGATTGATAATGACTTTATATTTATTGTAAGGTGTTTAATAAAAATAAATATGAAAAGATGAGGTTAGTTGGAAAGTAGGTAATTACTTTAGTGGGAAGTAAAATTTAATTAAAAATACCTTATATTTTTAAATGAAGGGAGCATAAGGTTTCATTTTGATCATTTATCTTTATAAAAGGTATTTTATATCCTTTAATTCTAATACCATTAGTTTCATTAACAAAAAATCATTACATTGCAAATATTGATATATTAAGTGTTATTAGAAACTTTTAAAAATTATTAACAAAACATTATCAAATGTTAATATATTTTAGTTTTAAATAATAAAAATTTTATCAAATATTGATATATTGAACGAACTTTGAAAGAGACTTTATAAAATTAAATGACCAAACTAAAATCTTATGTAAAATTATTAGAAACAGACATTAATGTTAGGGTTAGTATTGATAATTTGTACAACTAGATGTGAGAATGCCTAAAAATTAAACGCCACTATCTTTCTTAGATTCCTTAGAATTTTCGCCGCGAGAAATTGATTACTCATGATGATTTTGTTGATAAACTTATGATTTTAAGACTTCCCAAAAAAGAAAAAGGAATCTTTCAGAGCCAATACAGACACGAGATTAATTTAAACAATCAGTATCGAATTTGAAGTTGAACAGATTACGTACGACTCAAAGTGAAGACAACCTAAATCTCATCATTTTTTGTCGACCAAAATAACATGCATTTGGTTTTCGTGTTCAGTTATATACCAGGTTTGACCCTAGTTAAGTGACACGTCAATCATGTTACTATCTATAGTAATCTACTGATATATATATATTTTAATAAAATTATAGGCATTTATATATACACGATAAAATATTATATTATATTGTATATATATGTGTGCGCATTGTGTTTGTAGATTTGGTAATGATATACTTTATACATGTTGCTAAAACATTATTGTTTTTTTCCCCTTTTACCCTAATTAGTAACTAACTAATTTTAAAACTTCCAAACTAATTAAACAAACTTCTTTAATAGGATGAATAATAGCTTTTGACTTTGAGATCGCATTGCTTGTTTTCACACATTATTGTGTAAACATTAATTCTAGATTGGAATTTATTATGATTAATTTCTGACTTGGAATTTAGCATGTATGGAAAGAAGAAAAAGTCCTAGCTGGTGTGAAAGCGATGGTAAATAATAAAAATAAAAGAAATGGTAGAAAACTATACATCATACAAACTAACACGTTGGTACGAACAAGCAATATTGTCAAAAATATTAATGGATGATAGACCAAACGCGTCAGATCTTAAACCACATTCTACCTGCTGATTTGCACGCTAACACATGCCCAAGCTAGTTGCTAGCTACTACTATAGCTATATATATATATATATATACATATCTTCTTCCTAGTTCCTTCATTTTCACCAGCAACTTTCTTGGAAAATAATATATATAAAGGAAACTGTGTGCAGTGCCCTTGCATG